TCAATAATAATGATGAATTAAAAATTCTAGAACCTGTTACATAGGGAATGCAATCAACAATGGCTATGCGGCCTATGAGACACCTGGCTGGGACCCTTTGACAATATGCACAATTTCACGTCATCTTCCTACAAGGCCCAGTATTTGTGTACCTTTATCTAATTGTACACATCACAAAAATCACAGTTCATTGTGGGTTAAAAGATAACCCACACATAAAGTGGTGGTGAGCCAGGATTAAGAATGGTAGAAATGCCTATGCATGATATCTGGACTACAGTATAAATTAATTAGTCAAGGGACAGTTTGCTTTTTTACTTTCTCAGAAACACATACACTTTCATGTGTATCTCAGACTAATACTTACTAAACTTTTTTCCACATCCTACCCCTTTTCATCTAAGAAATTTTACATGAGCCTAGGTAGACAAATAGTAAATATGGACATAAAATAATCATGTACTGATAATAAATCATACATAAATTTATTTCAAAATAATTCTTTGGTATATATTAATTTATCATTTATTAAAGGTAAAATAAAATGTGCAATGTAAGGAGATGAATGTGCTTGTTTACACAAAGAGTTAAATCTTGATTGAATAATTGATAATGTAGGATATATAGAAGCTTCTATATTTTTCAGTGTTGATTAATATTTTGATTCTGTAGTTGTCAATGCTAAAAATATTTGCTTCAGAAAAATATATACCACAAAAATGGCAGAAGTATGTTTAGGGCCATTTTGGGAACCACTGCAAATTCTTTCCTACTCTCAAATGAAAACTCTTAAATAATTTTTTTATATGTGTACAGGTGTTTTGCTTGCAGGTATACATGTGCATTGTGTGTATACAGTAACTACAATGTTATTGTATGGTACTATAAGTGTGTAGGACCTCCTGGAACTAGAGTTACAAAGGTTCTAAGCACTGTGTGTGTGGGTTACTGGGAACCGAACCTGGGTCTGCTCCAAGAGCAGCAAATGTCCTTAACTGCTGAGCTATCTCTCTACGCTACTTTAAATGATTTTTAATGAAACTCTAAACAGTAATTCAAACAGCCATTTTAAAAATCAAACATTCTGCTGGGTGGCAGTGGCGCATACCTCTAATCCCAGGACTTGGGAGGCAGAGCCAAGCAGATCTCTGTAAGTTTGAGGCCAGCCTGGTCGACAGAGCAAGATCCAGGAAAGGAACGAAAACTACAGGGAGAAACCCTGTCTTGAAAAAAAAAAAAAATCAAAATCAAACATCATAATATAATATAATATAATATAATATAATATAATATAATATAATATAATATAATATAATATAATGATATACTAATTTGAGATTTGCAAGCAGAGAAAATAAAAGTAGGAACATATTAAGTCTTTGTTTCCTTTTTGATATTGTTGTGGTTGTTTCTGTGTATGTACATGTTGTGTATGTATTCTGAGATATATGTGTATGCACACCTGCAGAAACCAAAAGTTAACCTCAAAAATTATTTCTCAGATGCTGTTTATTTGTTTATTCAGGCAGGGTTTCTCACTATCCTGGAGCTCACTGAGTAGGCTAGGCCCTAGAGATCTACCTATTTCTTTCCAGTGCTAGGATTATAGACATATGCTACTATGCCAGCATTTTTACATAGATTCTGGACGCTGAACTCAGGTCCTCATATGTGCATGGCATGGACTTTAACAACTGAGCTATCTCCCCAGACACTTAAAAGTCTTTGTTTTCTTCTAGTAAATCATTGTGTTTCTATGTCTGCATATGTTTCTAATAGAAAACTGTGTGTACGATAAAACACTAATTTATAGCGGACAACAGTATCCAGTCAATTTGTGTTGTGGTGTTTCAGGCAGCATTCACTAATGCTACATAAAGTGATAGCATACTCAGTGTATGCTCTATTCAGAGTCTGCACTGAAATTATGCATGGAAATCTTACATGGAAGGACACTGCCAGAAACAGTGGTATGTCACACACTTGAATTCATTTTGTTTGTTCAGCATTTAGAAACTGCTCTGTTTCCAATTTTTCTCACAATCCCCACATTCATTCACATATGGAGTCACGACACTCCATCTGAAAAGCTGTAACACAAAACACTTGGTGGGTTGTTGTAGTGGTATTTGCTCTACCCATGACTTTGGGCAACAGGACTAGAAGGAGGTGGTGCTTGTTGCCATTGCACATGACCACTTAAAAGGAAAAGAAGAAGGTTCTGCTGCCTGCTTCCTGGTGTGATCAAACTGCTAGGTAGATTCACTCCCAGTCAGATCAGAGAACAACTTTAACTGTCTACTCCGTTCAGTATTCATGAGTGTATTGTCTCAATTTACCCTAATAAATTTCCCTAATACTCCTTAACCAAACCCCCATGGATTTATAGCATTATCTGGCACCCAGCATGGGGCATGAACCCACAGCCCTGAGATTAAGAGTCCCACAAAAGCATAAACTGATGTTCTAGAGGAACTGGGTTCAATTCCCGGGTAGTCAGGAGTTTGATCACACCAGTGAAAGAAAAAGAAAGAGAGGGAGGAAGAGGGAGGGGGA